ATTCTATTCTATTCTATTCTATTCTATTCTATTCTATTCTATTCTATTCTATTCTATTCTATTCTATTCTATCTTTCTCTCATTGCTCTCATTTTTCTGTCTCATCTCTCTCTCACACACAGACATTTCTCTTTCTATCATCTATCATCTCCCTATCATCTCACTCTATTATATTTCTCTCTGTCATCTCTCTCTCTCTTACCTCTATCAACTCTCTCTCTCTCTCGTATTTCTCTCTTTTATCTCTCTCTCTCTCTCTCTTATCTCTCTGTATGTGTGTTTGTTTGAAAGTAACTTACAAAATTAGAATTCTATTGTCTCTGGTAGATCACCAGTTTTGTTTTTTTTTGTTTACTGCCCACTGTATTCTTGTTGTTTTTGTTCGATTGCTGAAGCACACCTGACACTTCTCCACACCATGGATCGCAGGAGGCCAATCTCCCTTACCTTCCATCCTCCAGTGTCTTTTGACATCTGCCTAAACTCATGTCCTTTGTGTCAATGACTCTGTCTAACCATTTCATACTCTGCTGTCTCCTTCTCCTTTCGCCTTCAATCCAATTCTATTTGCTATTGAAGTGATTACGATCAAGAGGTGAAAACATGCTTAAAGGTCTGCCTTGAGAAAAGATTTGAATGAAAGACTATCAAAGGCATTTTTGGACTACAGGCCAGTTGACAGCTTCACCCAGAAGAGGACAAGGGCTGATGACTTCCATGTCAGAAGACGGAGGCTCCTGCCTACTTAAGAGAACCACCTGCCTACTTAAGAGAACCACCAGCAATATTTCTGTGGGACATTGGAAGGATTCAGTGGGACATCATACTTTACCATTACAATGCTGTAATCCATAGAAACACATGGATGTTGTGATTAGCCTGTCTCAGCTCAACTTAGCTCATCAAATTATTGTAGAGAAAAAGTAGAAGAGGGATGTGTGTGTATGTGTAATGATTCTGAGCTTCTAGAGAAAAGACAAGGTGTAAATCTATGAGAATTCATTTTGATTGATCGTATGCCATCAAGTCGCTGTCAGCTGTTAGAAACGACATAAATAGACCTACTTGAGAATGTTTATTAATTGCATTTATATACAATTATATAAAACATCCATCTGGTTCAGTTCCAAGCTGGGAGAAAGACACTGGAAACCTGGAGCCAGGTTGGAAAGATGGTTTATTGGTGAACAGGACCACCTGAGTTTGAGGTCCTGGGCAGCTGACCACATGGAGTGGAGAGTGGGGGTTATTTATACCTTCTCTTGGGCTTTGTGCTTGAACTTCCTGTTCCTGTGCAAGAACATGTATTCTATTGACTGTTGTAGGGGTCATAGTTGGCTCTGTAGGTTGTCTGAGCTCTCAGGTTTGGTTCATGCACTACATTGTGCGATGTAGTGTACTCTGCTGCTAGTGGGTTAATCCTTTTATGTCCTGGAGGGTCATATCTTAACCCCATCATTCTGGAGCTGAAGGTCTTTTGTTTTGTAGATAGGCTGGCCAAGTTTTTCTTAATGTACAAAAAATACCTGCTGGGGATTATTAAGAAAGGTGGAGGCTGTCTCTTTCTGTCTCTATCTCCATTCCGCCTTTAGGGAAATATAATAGTCTGCCTTTTTAATATTTCTCAAAATATTTCATTGTTCTAGGAGAGGGGAGTCTCTTTAATTATTTTTATAAACAGCTCAAGATAGTGATTGTACTTAATGCTAATCTGTTTTCCATCTGTTTTCCCCACAACCTGTGAGGTGGGCTGGACTAAGAGAGAGTAATTGGCTAAAGTCACCCAGCTGGCTTTCCTGTCTAAAGTGGGACTAGAAATCTCAATCTCCTGGGGATTCAGCTTTCATGCCTAAGGTGGGACTAGAACTCCCAGTTTCCTGGTTTCTAGCCACTTAACCACTACACCAAAGTGGCTGTTGAGAATGAAGCCGTCAAACAATATTTCTAGACCCTGCTAGACCACACTGGCTCTTAGGAGGACAAAAATTCTGCTATAAAAGGAAGGACACTCATATATACCCATGGCCTTGTGGTTAAATAAGGGAAAGGATCTCTCAAACACCTGGAATATTTTTTTTTCCAAAATTAACTTCTTGCAAATAAATGTTAAAAGCAAGTAATATTTTTTAGCAAAATGAATTAGAATTTGTAGGAGGGAAATGGATTATTTTTTCCCTGCCAGCCATCCCTTCAGAAATCCCTTTGCTCTATTATATAACAGTCAAGTAACGTGAAATTGACTTCGTTACTATCATGAGTCACTAAGCTTTCCCATCACTCCATGTAATTCATAATAGGTGACATCAGTGATATTACACTAAATGCATATACAGCTAGTCCTTGACTTATAGGCAGAGGTGGTATTCAGCCGGTTCAGACTGGTTCTGGTCAGGGGTAGGATTCAATTTTTTAAACAATCTGTTCTGTGGATGTGGCTTAGTTGGTGGCCTTGGCTTGCTGGTCATGTGACTGGGTGGACGTGGCCAACTTGATGTCACTCACATCAAGGGGCACTTCTTGCCTGGCCTCTCATGACAGTGGGGATGCTGCAACGGTCATAAGTGTGAAAAATGGTCAAAAGTCACTTTTTTCAGTTCCACTGTAACTTTGAATGGTCACCAGTTTTAGACCAAAACTCAAAAAGGGTATGTAAACTCACATTTGAATGTCAATCTTTCTAGCTAGCCAAGAAGCCTTGCTGAATGTCACTCATCTTGGTTCCTTGTCATTAAAAGCTTCTTTCTAACAGCTCTGCTTCATTATTCAATTATTTCTTCAAAGTGCTAACTCCAATGGGAGTATTTCCTCCCAACAGCAGTGTAAAAAGCTTAAAACAACCCTTCCCCTTTAAGAAAGTACCAGCAAAGGAAAAAAAAACTCCTTCTGAGACAGTAAGTCTAGGCATACTGTCAAGAATGCAAGAAGGGTAGGAAAAAAACAAAAGGAGATTTCTTCCAACAACCGGTTCTCCGAACTGCTTAGAAAGTTAACAACCAGTTCTAGTGAACTGGTGAGAACCTGTAGAATCTCATCCCTGGTTCTGGCGTACCGGTTGCGGAAATTTTGACTAGTTCACAGAACCACCTCTGGCAGGGCCCATTCACCCCCTCCCTTTCCTGTCCCATATTCCCTTGTTTGTTAACTTAGTGTCAGGGCTCTGACAATCCACCCCTATTCAAATCATGAGTCTCTAGTCACATCTCTCAGAGTTTTAAAAAAATAATTTATTAGGAGTGACCATGTCGGCGTTACCTGGGTGCAACCGACACTGAGGCACATCATTCATCTCACCCTTGACCCTGGTCTTCCCCCACCCCCTGGATGTATATTCTCCAATGGGATGCATCCATAGCCAAGAGTCATCAATCATGCTCTCCAGCAATAATCTTGCACGCCAGAAGTCTAAAATGATTTAAGGTATGCATTACTCCCCCCACTCCCTTTCTGCTGACAACTCTAAAAGACCAGAGAAATATTTCTGAGTGGGCACTCAGCTGATTCACGCATCAGAGCGGATTGCTGCGCCTCAGCTGAGCTAAAAAACAGTTTACCTCACTAGCGCTGACACAGAGAATGGTTTTCAAGTGCTGTGTGCATGCAGATAACAGATAATCAGAGTTGGATGGGACCTTATAGGTCATCTAGTCCAACCCCCACCCACGCCCAAGCAGGAGAACCTACACCATTTCTGACAAATGGCAGTCCAATCTCTTCTTGAAGGTCTCAAATGATGGCGCTCCCACAACTTCCGAGGGCAACTTCTGTTCCATTGGTTGATTGTTCTCACTGTCAGAAAGTTTCTCCTTTTTTCCAGGTTAAATCTCTCCTTGTTCAGTTTCCATCCATTATTCCTTGTCTGGCCTTTGGGTGCTTTAGCTTGACCCCTTCCTCCTCTCTGTGGCAGCCCCTCAAATATTGGAAGACCACTATCATGTCTCCCCTAGTCCTTCTCTTCACTAGACTAGCCATGCCCAGTTCCTGTAACCGTTCTTCATATATTTAAGCTTCCAGTCCCCTAATCATCCTGGTTGCTCTTCTCTGTACTTTTTCTACAATCACAACATCTTTTTTATAGTGTGGTGACCAAAACTGGATACAGTACTCTAGGTGTGGTCTTACTAAGGCTTTATAGAGTGGTATTGGTGCCTCCCTTGATCTCGATTGTATCCCTCTGTTAATGCAAATTAGGATTGCATTCACTTTTTTGGCGGCGGCTGCACATGGCTGGCTCATATTTAGCTGGTTGTCCACTAAGACTCCAAGATCCACTAAGACTCCAAGATCCACTAAGACTCCAAGATCCACTAAGACTCCAAGATGCATGCAACGAAGTATGCTCTCACGATAGAACCGGTAGGAAAAAATTTGGAAACCCACCACTGCTTACAGACCACAATCAAGCCTCAATTTTATGTTGCTGAGTGAGACATTTATTAAGTGAGTTTTGTTCCATTTTACAATCTTTCTTGCCACATTTGTAGCAAGAAACAGAAGATTGCTAAGAAATATAAATCCTTCCATTCCCCACCATTTGACCAGAATGGAAGAAGCTTTTAGGATGAGAAGTGAAATGTCTTCAAGGAAAAAACCAAGAAAGACCCATTGCCCTTTTATTAAAAAAAAGCACCTTTGGGACAACCGTGACCTGGATGATTGTGAATCTCCATAAACACTCTTCCCCCATACAAATTTACTTAGCAGTGATGTCAAAACCCCGCTGACACATTTGGCGTAAACACTGGTATCAGCAGTCTGTTTAACTGCTCGTGGAATATGGAAATGTTGATCACAATCTGAATGGATTTGGGGATTTGATTGCAGTCCATATCAATCAGCAGGGTGACAGGACTGCAGAAGTGACAAATGCAATTTTAGTCAGAGGCAATAAAAATGTAGACCCTAAATCAGGAGGAGTAATACTTCCATTTTAATGTGCATTGCATGGACTCAGCCACAAATATTGTGCTTCGTTTTGGGAATCGCTCTTCAAGAAAGGTTCAAGGAAGGTGGAAATAGCCATAAGGATAACAATAAAGTGTTTTAAAACCTCCGTAAAGAGAATGAATTTTAGCCATTAGATGGTTGTAATAGGCCTCTTAATTTTATTTTATTATTATTTATATAGTTTGTCAAGCATGCATGAGAAAATAAGTATAAGTATGAACATAACATATAAACATATAAGTATAAACAGATATGTATATAAATAATAATTGAGTATGAATAAATGGGAACAGTAAGACAGGGACGGTCGGTTGGCATGCTGGTGTGCTTATGCGCGCCACCTTACAGACCTCTTAGGAATGGAGTGAGGTCCACGGTAGACAGTTAAAGTTTAATTCATTTATTTAATTTATTTAATTTCTGTTCTACCCATCTCCCCTACAAAGTAACTATGGGCATCAAGGATCTGAAGGTGTATCACATAGAGGAAGATCAAAATCTATCCATAACAGGAAAATAATTTCCACTAAAAACTTCCTGAGAATCTGGAAAGAGTGAAGAGAAGAGCAGGAAAGGTGATTAAGGATCCCGGACGCTAAAACATATGAAGAATGTTAGCAGGAATAGAGTATTTCTAGTCTAGTGAAAAGAAGAACCAGGGGTGACAAGATAGCAGGTTCAAATATCTAAAGGGCTGCCACAGAGAAGAAGGGGTCAAGCTATTTTCCAAAGGACCTGACGACAGAAGAAGAAATGATGGATGGAAACTAATCAAGGAGAGAAGCAACCTAGAACTAAGGAGAAATTTTCAGATAATGAGAACAATCAGCCAGTGGAACAGTTTGACTTCAGAAGTTGTGGCTGCTCCATCACTGGAGGCTTTTAAGAAGAGATTGGGTAGCTATTTGTCTGGAATGGTATAAGGTCTCCTGCATTAGGTAGTTGGACTAGAAGACCTACAAGGTCCTTTCCAACTCTCTTATTCTGTTATGGAAGGAGTTACTGTTGAGGGCTTCCCAATGTCATAATTCTATTATTCTCTAAATATTACTGTAAGATTCCTAGTTTTCTATTATCTAGGAGGCAGGGTGGGATTCAACTGGTCTTACTACTGGTACAGTGACTACATTTTACACACTGCGTGTGTGTGTAAGACAATCTTAGGCTGTGTCGCCCGGACAGCTGAAAGGCGCTGCACGCAGGTGCGCACTGTTTGAAAAGGCACTTTCCCCCTGCTTTTTCAACCTCAGCTGTGCCACGCAAAGCAGTTGAGGTTGAAAAAGCAGGAAATAAAGGTCAGGTAAGAGCCTGGGTCGGTGGGTGGGCCAAACAGCAGCAAACACAGAACTGGTTCAGTCTCTGCTGCTCTTCAGAGCTACCAGTTCCATAGAACTGGGCAGAACTGGTAACATCCCATCCCTGCTAGGAGGGCTTTCTTTGGGTTGTTTTTTAAAGGAACAACAGGTTAAAAAAAAAACATGTTTATGGATACCAGTCTATGCAAAAGGCCCGTTAATCAAAGTGCCTCTCCCCAAAACACCGTCCTCAAAAGTGATGATGAAAAATAAGAGTGATGCAAAATTGATGCAAACTCAAAAACGAATTGCGGACGTGTTGTAAAATTTCATTTACTTCGATTTTGGTGCCATTCAACCCCGGGCCAATTCTGGGCACTTCTCAATATGACAAAATGAAATGAAAAATGCAATACACAATTCATGATACTAAGACGGGTAACCCACCCACATTTTTAAAAATGCTGAAAACACAAACCACCAAGGCCTGTATTCACCTTAGGCCATAGCCTGGGAGAACAGCCAATATTTAAGTTATTGGCATTTAAGATAGATGGCTAATCTCGCCTTCACTCATATAGCCAGTCATAAAGTTTGCAGTGTTCGGAGTTTTGCAGATCAATCTAGTTTGTTGGAATGGAAATGATTAGTACTTGCTAAGAGCAGAGAAGAGCAACAAAGAGTCTAGAGGCTAAACCATATGATGAACAATTGCGGGAGCTAGTTATGACTAGAAAAGGACTAGGGGGTCATATGATAGCAGTCTTCCAATACTTGAAGGGCTGTCACAGAGAAGAACAATGGATGGAAATTAATCAAGGGGAGAAGTAACCTAAAACTAAGGTAAAGGTTCCCCTCACACATATGTGCTAGTCATTTCCGCCTCTATGGGGCGGTGTTCATCTCCGTTATAAAGCCAAAGAGCCAGCGCTGTCCGAAGACGTCTCCTGGGTCATGTGGCCAGCAGGGCTAAACGCTGAAGGCGCATGGAATGCTGTTACCTTCCCCCCAAAGTGGTCCCTATTTTTCTACTTGCATTTTTACATGCTTTCAAACTGCTGGGTTGGCAGAAGCTGGAACACAGAATCAGAGCTCACTCCGTTATGCGGTGCTGGGGATTCAAACCGCCGAACTGCTGACTTTTCTGATTGACAAGCTCAGCGTCTAATTTCCTAACAGTGTGGACAATCAATCAGTGTAATAGCTTGCCTCCAGAAGTTGTAGATGCTCCATCACTGGAGGTTTTCAAGAAGAGATTGGACAGACATTTTTCCAGAATGGAATAGGATTTCCTATTTGAGCAGGAGGTTGGGCTATAAGACTTCCAATCCTATTATTTTATGTAAAAGGTCGAGGCTATAATTCTATTCTACACTTTACTGTGGCAAAAAAAAATGTTTAATACTTTCTTTTCCTTTCCTCCTGTACCTACACCTTTCTTTCCCCCTTCTTCCCCTTCCTTATTTTTCCTATCATCTCTATTTTCAACTATATTCTACATTATGGTAATTTTAATAACATTCTTGGGGGGGGTTGAGGAAATGTGCATTCATAGTGCATTTAAACGTAGGTGATCTTGAGAAGTTGTTAAATGATTTGGTAGAGGGAGGCAGCTTGGATGGAGTTCAGATCTGAGTTTCATATTCAAGATGTGATGCTGGCTTAGAGGAGGGTTAATTCCTTTATGTCATAAACTGATGCTCGGCGATGTAATGTGATGTTCTTCCTTCTCTTCATTTTTGACTCTCTGGAGACTTTTCTGCCAATGTATGAAAAACTTCAGTACTGTTGCCCTTAGGCTAATGAACTGGTCCCCAAGTGGCACTTGTGACAATTTGAGATCCAAGCCTCTGGCCTAGCTAAACTCCTCACTTCTTAGCTCCAGGAAAAAATACTCTTGGGTATCAGCACATGTTCATTGCAGAAAAGATCATTGGGAAGTGAGGGAGAAAACATCTGGGGCTCCCACTAGGATTTTCTCCTTCCTTTCTCTTCCTCATCTTTCCATTGTCGATCTCCTCCTCCTCCTTTTCTTCACTGTCCTCCTCCTCCTCCTCTTCCCTTTCATTTCTTTCTTTGGCACAGAGAAGGAGATGCTTTATGTTCTGTCCCCACTGCACATTAGTCTGGGTGCAGCTCAACATGCAGCTCAAGCCACCTATCCTCGAATAAAACAGACCGTGTCCATAGATCTGAATGCTTTATTGAAAGAACAGGATATGGTGAAAATGGGGAAAATAGGGATACATACAATGAGAACCAAATACAAGATAGACAGTACTGAGTTACTGCTGAACATAATAATGAATGAATGCAAGTAATTTAAATCTCACAGCGATGCTCTGTGTGGGGGATGTGGGTTTGTCCTTGGATTCATTCTCCAAATGTTAAAGGAAATGGAGCCTGGCTTCCCAGTGTGCACTTATTTGAGAGTGTGGGCTGATGGGTAAATGGGTGGGATCAACTTCAAACAGTATACTTGGGGTATATTTGTCTCTCTGGCCACTAGATGGGGCGAGAGGGCCACAACGATATATAAAATCATATGTTGGACCATGACACTCTACCTTGGATCCTTTGGGCCTAAATAGCAAACAAAAACATATGTGGTGACAATGGCATAAATAAATCAAAGTCTTCTACACTTTTAAACTGGAATGGGATGACTCACCACAGCCACCTCGCCACAGCCAACTCATCATGGCCAACTTGCCACAGGACAACTCACTGCAGGACAATTTAATAATTCTATTTAATTATTTAAAATAAAGAAAAAAAGCATGCTAATTTTTGCCATTCACATTTCATTCTGTCCCCACTTTTGCATCTTTTCCTTAATGTTTCTATTCCATTATTTCTTCGATATTAATGTAACTGGTGTCCTAGTATCTAGCCTTTAATAAAATTATGTAAAAAGAAAATATCACCATTCCTCATTCCAGTGTCCGTGTCAGCAGAGAGAAAGGGAAGATGACAAATTTTACTGACGCCTCCACCCCTCCAAATTATGGCTGTTCTAGTCAAAGAAGGCAATTCAAAAACCCAACGAATAAATGAAATATATATTGTGGGAGGTTATGCACAATATTGTATACTATTTTAAAGTTTGCAGAAGCGCGTGGTGCCTGAAATATGCAATGTGCTGGGGCGCCACCATAAGACAGAAAAAAGTTCTATTTTAAACTTGTTAAGTACGATTATCACACTATTTTCCATATCTTAATTGGGTAAAGGAGGAATGCTTTCACTTCCCTTCTTCCCCACTCCTGAAAAAAAAAAAAAAAACACCCCTCTTTGATTCCCTGTAAAATTTGTACTTGTACCTCTTGCATTAAATAACATTGAAGGTTCTGCTGTTTTATGGCGATGCCTTTATCTGTCGCGCACCCCGGATAGAGACATTTTAATGAAATACACTTCGTTTCATTTCAGTGGATTTGTGACATGGCTGGCCCAGGAGATCTTGTATAAAATCTTAATGTAGAGCCACCAAGGAGAAGGATTTTGCATAGGAGCTGAATTATAACTGCTGGGATTTTCAAGCAAGCTAAAACTGAAGGTGAACACCCAGCTCCAAGTTAGCAATTGTAAGGCAGAATGAGAAGCAATGGAGAGAACCTACCTAGGACAAAACGAAATGTCCTGACAACGGTAACCATTAATCAACGGAAAGTCTTGCTTTCAGAAGATGTGGATACGCCAGCCTTAGAGTCCCAAACTTGCTTTTTCGAGAGGCAACTGGACTTTTTGGTTGTTTTTTGAAGATGTCTCGCTTCTCCTCCAAGAAGCTTCTTCAGCTCCTGGATGAGAAGCAAAACATCTTCAAAGAAAAACCAGAGAACCCAGTTGCCTCTTGTAAAGGCACCTTTGGGACTACCATGACCTAGATGACTGAGAATCTCCATAGACACCCAACCCTGGAGGTTTCTAAGAAGACATTGGACAACTATTTGTCTGAAATGGTGTCGGGTTTCCTGCTTAAACAGAGAACAGGAGCCTTCAAACTTGACAGCTTTAAGACTTGTGGATTTCAACTCCCAGAATTCCTCCCCCTGTCATGTTAGCTTAGGAATTCTGGGAGTTGAAGTCCACAAGTATTAATTAAACTTGCCAAGTTTGAAGACTCTTGGTATAGATTGTAGAAGACCTTCAAGGTCTCTTCCAACTCAAGTTATTTTATTATTCCATCTACAAGTATAGAGTTTTTGGAGGGCAGTATTTCTCATTGGCCTTACCAATGAGCCTTTCTCCTTTTCACTCCTCTCATGCACTGTGATTTGATAATATTCCACCTTTTGCATCTGTTCTCTTAATAATAGGACTGATGAAAAGAGTTGAAGGGGAAAATATATTATTTTCTTTATTTAATAAGCCAGGATTATTCTAGCCATCAAACCTCATTAGCCTCTAGTATTTTCAATCTTTGGAGGAGGTCATTTCATTATTTGGCAAATGATACTTACCGCTGAGAATAATATATATCTATATATTCATTTAGAGTGTGGGTAGGATTGCTCTAAAACCTGTCCTATCAATTAACCAACTTGCTTTTACAGCTTCTATTGGCTTCAAGGATCCCTTCTTGGTTTTGTTCATAGGCTGGTATTTTTAATCTCTCTGTTCTAGAGCTGAAAATAGAAATCTTCAGAGCTGCTATCCATGGAGATAAAAGGTACAGTGCAAAGCAATCTTTGCCAACTGGCTGCCTCACAACTCTCAATAGCCACAGCTGCTGAAGCCAAGAGTCTTTTGAAACATCTGGAGACCTGTGATGAGGAAAGCTGATCTAGATACAGATTAACAGAGTTGGAAGGGACCTTGTAGGTCATCTAATCCAGGGGTCACCAACCTTTTGGACCTCAATGACCACCAAACTCATCATTTTAAATCCCGCAGACCAGAGACCCTGGGAAAAATCCCCCCCAAAATGTCTGCAGGAAAATCCCCTACCCCATTTTTCTATCGATCAATCATTCTTTATTTGGGATCGCAGGATCGCAGTCTCCAGCTCCATTCTCAGGGGGAGAGAGAGAGACTTTTGGCTTCATGCAAGGAAAGCAGCAGCAGTCTTTCTTTCTCTTCCCCAAATTCCACCAGAAATGAGTCTTTGTGAGACTTGTCATGCCAAAGACCCATTTCTGGCAGAGTTTGGGGGAGAAAAAGAAAGACTTTTGCTGCTTTCCTTGCATGTAGCTAAATGCAGAAGAAGAAAGCAATGGAAAGACAGCAGCCCGGTGGCCAAGCAAGGCACGTGGGGTGCATGGGGCAAGTTCCCCCTGCACCCTTTCCTCCCTCCCCTCCCTACTTCATGTTGTTCACAATGCAAGTGACGCAAGCTTTGTCTTCCCACGGGCCTTGTGGGCGGCACAGCTTTGTGTTCCCACACAGCCGGGATTGTTTTGGGGGGTACTTTGGGGTTGACATTTCTCTGCGGACCACCAAAATTTTCTCACAGACCACCAGTGGTCCCCGGCCCACTGGTTGGCGATCACTGATCTAGTCCAACTCCCCCACCCAAGCAGGAGATCCTACACCATTTCTGACAGAGGGCAGTCCAGCCTTTTCTTGAAAGTTTCTAGGGGTGAAGCTCCCACATCTTCTGAAGTCAACTTCTGTTCTATGGGTTGATTGCTTGCATACAGGAGGAAAACTAATTATAGGTAGCCCTCGACTTATGATCCCAACATTTCTGTTGTTAGGTGAAACACTTCTTATGTGGGTTTGCCACCTTTCTTGCCACAGTTGTTAAGTGAATCACCAAAGTTATTCACCTGGTTGTTAAGTGAATCTGGCTTCCCCATTGGTCTTGCTTGTCAGAAGATCACAAGAAGTGATCACATGATCTTGTGGGACGGTCATAAATATGAACTGGATGCCAAGCTTCTGAATTTTGATCACATGACCATGGGGAATGCTGCAAAGGTGGTCACTGGGAAAAATGGTCATGAATCACTTTGTTCAGTGCTGCTGTAACTTTGAGCAGTCACTAAATGAACTGTTGTAAGTAGAGGGTTACCTGTATTGCTCAGGGTAGAAGCACCATTTTCTGTTTCTCACTCTCTTTCTCTCTCTTTTTTCCCTATCTACTTAAACCTTTCCCTATCTCTCATATACAAGTGTGCATCTGTAGAGAGAAGTTCCTTGGGCTCCAGCATGAAAGCTCAGAAGACTAAACCTTTGATCCAAGTATCCTACCCAGATTGGATCTCTCAGTTTACTCTCAGAAAGCTCTCAGATACTTTTCAAGGGAAGTTCCATGTTAAGTGTATTACAAAAAGTACTCTGTCAGGATTCCGACAGTTACCCCCATTTAAATCCTGAGTCTCAAGCCAAACTTCCAAAACTTAAAAAGGATTTATTGGGGAGTTAACATGCCAGCATTGCCTGAGTGTAGCCAACTCTGAGATATATAATTCATTGTCACCCTTGACCCTGGTTTTCCCCCACCTCCTGGATGTATCATAATTCATATTCTCCAATGGGACACATCCATAGCCAAAAGTCATCAATCATACTCTCCAGTTAGAATGTTGCACGACAGAAACTTCAGTCACCTAGTTACTATCTATGAAAGCTTTTGTGGAATGCAGTTTCAGTTTTTCAAGCTGCTGCACTGCTCCCCACTTCCCTTTCTATTGGCAACTCTAAAAAGACCATAGAAATATTTTATGAGTTGACATATTTACCTCTACCAGTGGTGAGTTTCAAAAAGTTGTTCTACCGGTTCTGTGTGAGTGTATACTTTATGAGCGCTTTGTGCCTGCACAGGGGTTGCAACTCAACTTCTGCTGCAAGCCCTGTGTGTAAAACAGCTGATGCACAGCAAATAGCTGTGCCATGTGAAGCAGCTAAAAAGCAGGAAATAAAAGTCAGTATAGAGGCCAGACGGGTGGGCAGGCCCAGCAGCTGATTGTCAGAGTGAACTGGTTCGCTCACAGATGATCGTCGGAGCTACCAGTTCAGATGAACTGGGCTGATCCAGTAGAATACCACCACTGACCTCTAATTCTCTGAATCAGGAATCGCCAACATCCCAGAATAGCATCCCTTTTCCTTCTGTCTCTTGTATCAGAGAATTTTTATGGACAACATCAAGCCATTTCTTCGTTAAGACACCAAAACTAAAAAGCACGAGATGGTGAGTTCAACTCCCACCTTACGTATGAAAGCTGACTGGGTGACTTTGGGCCAATCACCAGGAGACTGTGACTTCTAGTCCCACATTCGGTATGAAAGCTAGCTGGGTGACTCTGAGCCAATCCGTCTTTCTCACCCAATTTACCTCATAGGGTTGCTGCGGGGAAAATAGGAAGAAGGTGTGTTAGGCATGTTTAGTGCCTTGACTTATTTGTAAAAATAATAAAGGCAGGAGAATGTGTGTGTGTGTTTGTGTGTGTGTGTGTGTGTGTGTGTGTGTGTATAAAACAGATGACAGATAGATAGATAGATAGATAGATAGATAGATAGATAGATAGATAGATGATAGATAGATAGATAGATAGATAGATAGATAGATAGATAGATAGATAGATAGATTATAGATAGGTATGTCAAGCAAGAAGATGAGGATTCCAAACATACAAATATATTAATAATTCCATAAACGAAGAGGAACAAATTAAATCTTTTAGAATAGGCATGTCTACTGTAAGTCAAATCCATTAAAACTGATTTTCTAACAGTTCATTCAAGAAAATCCTCAAATGTTATTGGGACAAAACAGTTAATCATAGAGGACTGGTCAAAATTTCTCCCTAATCATAAAGAGGTATAATAAGACGCTGATCATCAATTACAGGAAGCGTTTGATTTGCAACTACTGTAGCTAAATGTGGTGCAATCACTTACTGAATCTAAGGGGCTGATTACATAAATAATCGCTTGTTGAATTACCTTGTTAATGAACTAAATTAAATGTGAACCAAAATTTGGCATTATTTGTTCACTCAGACTCCATTGGGACTCGGATACAGCTGTTTCAGTGGGAAAGATACCCAGACGTTCAGAAGATTCAAAACGGGTAAATATTTCTTTCACAGAGCTATAAATTTACAAAACATTAATGATATTATCCACTGTTGTAAACAAAAGTTTGACCTTCTTTATTGGGGTGCATAAATTAAGTTGATAGGGCTGCACAAGATTTTCAGAAACCCTTGTTGCCAAGCGTTACAGCAGAGTCCCATCCTTTTTAGGAAAGAAATACCTATAACTAACTATGACTACAACAACTATAACTACTGTATAACTATAACATAACTCTCTCTCTCTCTCTTTCTTTCTCTCTCTCTCTCCTTTTCTCCCTCCTTCTCTCCCTCTCCTCCCTCTCTCTTTCCTTCCTCTCTCTCCACTTCTTTCTCTTTTTCTCTCTCTTGCTCCCCTGAATTTCCCTACTCACCCCAAAGTAGAGAAGAATCCATAATCCCTTGATTCTGCCCCATAACTACAATAGGACCCCACTTACTTTGCATCATCAGCCTACCCACTGATCCTTTCTCCTTCCAGCAAATTATGTTTGCTCCATTCAGTACAAGGCTGACCAACCCATCAGCTAATAAGCCACCTGATGTCACAATTTTTCATGTATTTGAAAAGCGAGAGAGAGAAAGAAAGAGAGAGTCAGATTCAGATAAAAATAGGTCAAGTCCAATAAAACCAACAGGTCAATACAGGTAGGAGAAATCGGATCAAAGGCATTTACTCACAGTTCTAGAAGATTGACCTCACCCCTTTCCTAAGAGGTGAGGGGGGCGTGCATAAGCACATCAACGTGCCTACGGTCCCTGTCCTATTGTTTCATATCTATCTATCTATCTATCTATCTATCTATCTATCTATCTATCTATCTATCTATCTATCTATTTCTTATATGTATCCATGTATGTATAACTATGTTTTTACTTATATCTATTATCTTGTAAGCAATTGACAAATAAAAAAATAAAATAAATAAAATAAATATGCAAATAAACAAATGTGATGCACAAGATTCTTAAGAGCGCAATCCAACTCTTGAAGAGCTTCTTCTAAGCCAAAGAATGGTGTCATCTAGAGACTGAAGAAGGCTGTCTATGATTCATTTTCAAAGGTCTCCCTCTCCAAAACTCTCTCTCTCTCTCCCTCCCTCCCTCTCTCTCTATCTTTATTTCTCTATCTGTATCTCTCTATGTCTCTCTCCTGTCCAATTAGCAAACCCAACACAAGGAAACACTCTCGGGAGAATTGAACCCCCCAAAATAATACTTTACTGCACGTCTGTCAAACTTGCGGTCCGCAGGCCAGATACATCATGTGCTGGCTCCACCCCCATCTGGTTTAATAAAGGGGGGAAAAAGTCCTGATATGTCACGTGACGATGCCGTGACGACGTGAGTTGGACACCCCAGCTTTACTGGATACACCATGTTGGTGCGGAAGAAAAACAAAACCAGCTCTGGTTTCCCACACAAATGCTTGCCCTGTTAAACAACACTTTCTCCTTCTCCCCACCCCTGGTTGATCACATTGTCCAATTATGAGACTTTTTTTGTTATGGGAATGGTCCCTCTCTTTCTCAAGCACCTGCAGTGGTGACCTTGGTGCTGCAAGCTCTCGTGAACTCTGCACACATCCTCCACGTTCCATTTCCCTGCTCCTCAGTTCGTTGGCAAGTTGTAAAGCATTAGGTTTGAAAAAAGCAAAGTGGTTCAGTCCTGACATTCTCTATCTCTGTCTCTCACTGCAGCTTAAAATAAAGGATTTCAAGCAGAGGTGGTATTCAGCTGTTTCTGACCAATTCTGGAGGACCGGTAGCGGAAATTTTGAGTAGTTTGGAGAACCAGCAAATACCGCCTCTGACTGGCCCTGCCAACCCCATTATTTTCTGCCTCCTGAGTCCCAACGGATCGACTGGATCTTCTTTCGTTGCCCTGCACAGGAGAACAGTGCTGGAAAGCAGGTTAGTGGGGTGGGGAGGGAATGGAGATTTTACAGTATCCTTCTCCTACCACATCCACCAAGCCACACCCACAAAGCCATGCCCACAGAACCGGTAGTAAAATATTTGAATCCCACCACTGATTTCAAGGCCTCTCTCTTCATTCTTACAACCAACTGATTCATTATAAGATTTGGCTCTAAATCGTTTTCAGGGTAATTCTGTGGTCCAGATGTACAGTAATAGATATACCAGACTCCATTCTCTGCTCTGTTGTCGCATCAAGGATAAACACTTTTTAATTACTTGAAGCCATGGTTGTCTAATTGCTTTGCTTCTAATTAGTTCAACATCTGCAAAGATGCTCCCCAGTTCTGGGCACCAACAATCGAATGACAAAGAGCTCTACTCAGTGATGATAATTGGGACTAACTGATAAAAGATAATCAGAGTTGGAAGGGACCTTGTGGGTCATCTAGTCCAGCCCCCTGCCCAAGTGGGAGACCCTACACCATTTCTGACAAGTGGCAGTCCAATCTCTTCTTGAAAGTCTCAAGTGATGGCACTCCCACAACTTCTGAGGGCAAGCTGTTCCATTGGTCGATTGTTCTCACTGTCAGAAAGTTTCTCCTTATTTCTAGGTTAAATCTCTCCTTGTTCAGTTTCCATCCATTATTCCTTGTCTGGCCTATAGGCATAAAATAGATTGA